GGTCACAACGGCAGCGGTGACGGCCCACATTGTACGGTCCGCCCGCAGCCCACCCCGGGACCTCCGATCTGCCCGCGTCCCGAGGCACATCCTCCGGTAAGCTCGGTGCCCGGCTCGGGCTGGGGAAACGCGAGAGGTTTCCCGAGGCAAACCGCGAAACCGCCTTCCGACCCTCGGAGAGGAAGGAGCCCAGGAGCAGGGGACCGAAACACTCCGGCCCTGCCTGGCTGCCGCTGCGGCCCCGGGTCCCCCCTCCTCACCTTGGTCTGTGATGGAGCGGATCCCCAGGATGTCCGTCACCGAGTGGGAGGACGGCCACGTCCTGGGCATGGCCATGGTGCCGGGGATCGCTGGCACCCCGGGAGGGGTGGGCACCTTGGCTCCTGCAGCAGCGATGGGGCTGGGGTAGGAGTAGATGTGGTTGTAGGGCAGAGCAGGCTGTGGGGGCGGCTGGTGCTGCTTGTAGGACTCGTAGTGACTCTGCTGAGACAGGTTCCCGATTTTGTTCCGGAGGATGCGGCTGATGGAGCTGACCGACGGCACGTTGTACTTGTCACACACGCCATCGGCCAGCAGGCGATCCCGGATCTCCCAGGCGAAGATGCCCGGGTCCCTTTGTTTGTAGGTCCGGATATGTTTTACCACCGTCGGGGTGGTGACCCGAGGCTTGCTGCCTCCGATAGCCCCCGGTAGGATGGAGCCGGTCTCGTTGTAGCGAGCCAGGATTTTGCTGACACAGCCGTGGGAAACGCGGAGCTGCCGGCTGATGTCACACGGCCTGATACCCAGTTGCGCCAGTTCCACAATCCGCAGCCTGATGGCATTGGGCAGGGGTCTCCCGTTGACAAACACCCCCCCGAGCTGGTTCACTTCCCCGAAGGCAGGTTCTGCAAGCAAACACACAAACACACCCGTCGGACGCGGCGAAGGGCTCAGAAGGGGGCGTCTGAACTGCTCCTCACCACAAGGCAGATGTCACAGCTCGGGGACCCCCCGGTCACTCCACGCACGGTTCTTTCTAATAGCGGGATGCCCCCGAAATTGAAGGGGGGGGGGAGAGAGGGGAAGAAAGACAAGAAAGAAAGAAAGAAAGAAAGAAAATCCGCGGCAACCAATGTCGGAGCTCTCCGGACTGTGCATCAAACATATTCCAAAAAAGCACATTCCAGAGATGAAAAACGAGATCGCCCCAACAGACGAGTCAGCTTTATTGCCACAGGAAAAAGGAACACGAAGAAAAGAAAAAGAAAAGAAAAACATTTTCGAAGACATGGGGGAGGGGAAGGAAGGAAAAGTAGTTGAGGAAATTCTTTTACGTCTTGGGAGAGGCAAGGGCAACGCGGTGCTTCTGAGTCGCGACTAACTTTTTAAAGACCGTTTCTGGTGCTGTTAGCGCCTCTCGCTTAACAGCACAATTACACCAGGCTGTAAAACAAACGTGCTAAAATGTTAACTGCTAAGATCGGTGGCAGGAATAATATACAACGTGCCACAGGCTCCAGCCATCCACTCGGCTGCGATCCTGCCTCGCACTCGCCTAATAACATTAATAATAAACCGAGCAGTCATTAGCTTTTCTCTCTTCCCTGCTCCTGACCCTTAACGTGTTCTTACAACTTGTAGGAACACGAGCAAAGTCAATAAGGGAGCTGCGGCGGCACATGACGACGCAGGGGTGCTCCCCCTCTCTTGACAGCACTTGAACCCTCCTGCAGCTCCCAGCCACTTACCCATTCCTCTGAGCGGGACACCTCTGGGGCTGCCCTAAATCCCAAACGGAGACCTATGCCCAGAGACAGGCTCCCAGCCTCCTGCGCTCCCGGCTGCACTAGCCCCCGAGTCTCTCCGATCTCCACCGAGGAGGTAGCGGGGGCGTGAGGGAAAAAGGGCTACAAGGAAATCTGCTTCCCGACGAGAGAGCCTTGACTTCTGCATTTCAACCTCGGGGCAACGTGGGCAGGGCTGGGCTGGGCAAGGCGCCGCAGCCCATCGCTCCCCCGA